GGGGGGGGGGGGGGGGTGTGTTTCTGGCAGACGTCTCATGACCCAACTAGGGAACATCCTCAGTGCAGTGGCACTGAGGATGTTCCCTAGTTTGGATCACGAGACATCTGCAAGAAAACGAATGTCAAAGAGAGCCTCTAGAATCCGAGAGCAGCAAGGAAAAGGAACAGCGGGAGCCTGTTTTCCTAGGGCGCACATGCACAGAGCTGCCAGAAGGCAAGAACGGTTAAGACAAAAGGGGCGACTGGGGAAGTCAGGCTGGGAGGGGATTCCCCCCCCCCCGTAAGACATAAAAGGAGGAGCAAAGGGACAGGAGCCTTTGCAGGAAGCAACTTCCGTTCGCTCCGGGTCCGTTTGAAACTCTTGAAGCTCTGTGTGGACTTTGCGCTCCTCTTGGACTCGTCCAGCGAATGGGGGCCCTTTATAGTTGGCGGCAGCATTTCGAGGGAGATTAAGGTGGGTGCCGATCAGCCTTCTCCCAAAGGATTTTGGCACAGGCTATTCCTAAACTGTTTGGGACTCATTACGGGCTGGGAAGGCCTAGAACTCCCAGCCGTCGAAATAATAATTATTTTTAAAAAGGGGTTTTTGTTTTTTTTGCAACCAGCTGGATTCCAAAGGGGAAGGAGGTTGGCTCAAGGGGCTTTTGTACACCACTGTGTGTGTGTGTGTGTGTGTGTGTGTGTGTGTGAGCCCAGTCAGAAGCTCCTGAAATAACCACAGTGTGAAGCCCCCCTCCCTCCACTCCACAAAACCCTCCTTGCGCACTACTCACCTCCCTCTCCACGTTAATATAGAACTGCCGGATCCCCTCCAGAGTCAGCTCTTCTTTCTTCACTAGGATACGGATGGGGTCTCTCATGAATTTCTTGGTTACTTCCAGCACATCCATCGGCATGGTGGCAGACAAGAGGACCACCTTAAGTGTTGGGGGGGGAGAGAGGAGAGCTCAAGCTTCTTGCCTGCTTTAGCCAAAAGCCCCTTAAACACCCCCGCCTCCCCAGCCAGCCCTTTTTTGCTTCCTGAAAACGCCTCCATCCGAGATTCATCCTTTTTATAAACATTTGTGGATTTCTCAACTCTCTGAATTCTGGGAGGTGACGTCCAGACATCTTAAAAAAGCTGGCAAGGCTGGAGACACCCCCTCCTCTCCCTCTATAAGAGTTTCCTGCTTGGACTAGGAACAGGGGTCTCCAGCTTTGAGTCTGGAGGACTCCGATTCCCAGAATTCCCCCAGCCAGCTTCGCTAAGACTTCAACTCTCTCTGCCTGCTTCCTCTCTTTGTCATCCCTTCCTCTGCAATCGCTCCACTCTAGGGAATAGGAGGGGGGGGGAAACAAGTATGGTTTTGAATGGGGAATTCTGGGAGTCGAAGTCCACCAGGCTTAAAGTGGCCAAGTTTGGAGACCCCTGGTCTAGATTGCAGAGGAAGGGATGACAAGGGAGTAAAGCAGGCCTGGAGAGTTGGAAGTCTTAGCGAAGCTGGCTTGGGGGAATTCTGGGCGTTGGGAATCCCCAAGTCTTAAAGTTGCCAAGGTTGGAGACTTCTGCCCTAGAGTGGAGAGACTGCAGAGGAAGGGATGACAAGGGTGTAAAGCAGGGATAGAGTTGGAAGTCTTAGCGAAGCTGGCTGGGGGGGAATTCTGGGAGCCAAGGTTGGGGACCCCTGGACTAGAAAGACCTCCAAGATCCCTTTCAACTCTTTGTTACAATGGATTCTGAACAGGGCAATGTGAAGTGGGCCTGGTGAAAGACCCTCTCCCCCTTTGGAGAGGGGAAGACCCTTTAATAAAATCTTGGTTTTGCCCAGGATGCGGCTCATCAATTCTGGGAGTTGCTGAGGTTAGAGACCCACCCCCCCCTCCCCGAAGAAGGCCCCCCCCGAGCACCCCCCCCCCCTCCTCCCCAAATAATGAGACAAGTTCAAAGAAGCCAACCCCCCTCCAAAGGAACGGAATGGGCTGGATTTGCACAGGTGGCCCTCAGGAGGGGCCTTCACACCTGCGTGTTGCCGCTCAGCTTCTGGAATATATCGTAAATCTGGTCCTTGAAGCCTCGGCTCAACATCTCGTCGGCTTCGTCCAGCACAAACATCTTGATGAACTTGGGTGCTGTGGAAAGAAAGGGGGGAAGGAAAGAAAAATCAGGCAGGAGGAAGCTGAGCAGGAGGAGGAGGAGGAGGAGGAAGACGAGGAGGAGGAAGCTGCTGGTCTCAGGGATGTTATCCAGGTATGATCACTTTCCCCTTGGGATTCCTCCCCCCCTGCCCAGCAGAACGCAGGCCAGGGGGGAGGATAAATGGGGGGGGTCAGATGACACGCATGGGAGAATCATCATGGAACAGCAGCAGCAGCAGGAGGAGGAGGAGGAAGAGGAGGGCAGCCAGGCGGAAGGCAAGAGCACAGACTGGCAGTCCTTCGACTTACAACGTTCCCCTTAGGGACCGTTTGAAGTCACGGAATCACGAAGTCCATGGGGCAAAAAGCCGGATTCCCTGAAATCTGGTTACTATCTTATC